TCTTTTTTTTAGGTTTTAGACGCAGAAAACTCGCTCAAAACCTCGCTTAGAACCTTGAAAAATTGTTTTCTGTAAGTTTGACGACGTACTCTTTCATTTGGACGGGTCAAGAAAATTTTCCAGTGAAAATGGTTTTTCGGTTGAAAAACCATTGTAATATTCGGAATCAGCACGTTCGATTACCTATTGTCAACTGAGTTTCAGCTCAAAAGCGAGGAGACAGTTAGTGGCCTTCTCTCGTAAGATAAGTTTCCATGATGGTTTGCTTTCTTCAGCTGGTAATTCTATATAGCAAAAATATAAATGAAATATATGATAAATATATATATATATTTCAATTACCATTAGGTCCATATCGTTCAAAACTTTGTCGGATACGATCTTCAGGAAGACCAATATCTTCGTCAACACGATAGAGATCAGCATTTTCTTCTTTTGTTTTTGTCCATGGATAATCAATAATTAGTTTTCCGCTTGACGACTGTTTGGCCATACTAATTGAATGCTTGAAAATCTATAATAATAATCGCAATACAGATTCATAAATGAATCATCATTGTCATTCAACATAAGATCTCACATGCATTCACGTGGAGACACGCGTCTTGTTATCGGACAAGGAAAAAGTGTTGTAATATTAAATGATAAGCATGTCATTCGATCCAATCATTATTAAATAAACTTTAACAAAATATAAAATAATCAAAAATTGATTTTTAATAATGACAAATTATAGAAAAGGATTTTTATCACCACTTAATTTCGATTTATTTTAATAAACAATAGAGGACGCTAGACAACAGTTTTTATAAATATTTAATAATTGTATTCTTATTACTTGTCAAAATATCATTTATATAAAGATCAAGTATCCTATTATAATCATAAATTCTTATAGTTTATAAAAACTTTTATTTTTATTAGTTCATCTTTTTCTTTCATAAAAGTATATCACAATACATATATTAAAAAAAAACAAGAAAACATTTCTTGATTGTTTTGTTTCTTTTTTCTGTTTATAAAAATATAACATTAACAAAAGAATAAATTCGACTAGATTTTAAAATGTACATTTATACCATCAAAAAAAAATCCGATTAATGAGCACCAAATGATGTGATATTACAAACATCAATTTTTGATAGACCACTATTTAAAAATAAAAGAAATAATTCAAATATTTAATGAATAATTTAAAAATATACTTATGTGTTTTTGATACACGATAACATTTTTCTGCATATGCAGATTTACCAAGTGAATCAACAAAATCTTCATCATGTGTTATTATAATTAATTGAAAATTTTTTAAATTTGCACGACTTTTAACAATTCTAAAATAAACAAAAGTTTTATTTTCCTTCTACAATTTATTCTTAGAAAAACAACACTAAAAAGCCATTCGAAAATTATCTAATTAGATTTGAAACACTTTATCCTCATCGATCTTAGCGCAATACTTAGCATCCTGATTAAAGTGGAAAAGAAGTTGGACGCGTTGGCTAATAAGATTGGTATGGATGAATGAAGATTCATCAATATAGTGAAACAATCATGGAGAAGTATGATCGGGATTTTCCTAAAGTAATAATAGCTTCTATGAATCTCTTCCGATATGTTGTTACTGTTGATCGTGCTTTACTCGAATCGTCCACTATTAAGACATCTGATTTAATTAAAACAAGATTTTATACGAGAAGCATGAATTGACTCTTAATGTCAGTCATGTAAAACAACAGATGAAATGTCAATAAGGACAAGGAAAGAAAACTAATCACCATATAGTAGCACAATCGGAGAAAGTATTACATAGGCTCAACTCTCCTGACTATGTCTACAGGGAGACAGAAATTCTGTAGTAACGCTGAGCTCAAACCACTTTTTAAGCGGCATTGAGCCATTTGTAAAAAGTTGGAGGCGAGCTTTCTTTAGTCATTAATGAAACCTTAGTGGTTGCTAAACTTAGTTCATGATCACGTCGATCATAATCGATCTCCAATGAGAAACGAATATTTGCACACAAAATTCTGATTGTACGTAAACGATCCGTTTTAAAATCATGTTTAATGAGGATAAGGCATACATACAATTAAAATACTGTATCGTATTATAGTGAGTAGGATTACAATAAAGAATATAGAAAATAAAAAGGGTGTGGGTGTGGGCGTGGGTGGGTGCGGGTGTGGGTGGGTGTGGGGTGTGCGTATGGGGTGTGGGTGAGGGGTGTGCGTGTGCGTGTGAATGAGGATGTGCATCTACTATTCATCTACACTTACGCTCATACCCACACCCACACCCACCCACACCCAGCTCGATCGGACAAACTAAAAAGGGGATCGTAAGCAGTCAAGATCTAGAAAATCGCTGTTTTACAGAACGCTAAATAAAAGAAAAAAATTTACATACGATTACTATGAAAAAAAAAATTTTCTCGATCTAATAAACAGGTAAAAGTAAGACATTTCGAGTCGAATAATGTCTCTAGCTGCACATGGCACCTCAGGCTATCATATCTTGGGCTCAGCTCAAAATCGAGTTTTGGGTCAAATAAATGCGGAAACTTCGGATTTAAATCCGAGAGTTATGTGTACTTCAAAAAGGGAATCACACGAATCAGCCGTCCTAGAATGTGTGGACATCAAAATTATACTGGGGAACCTACCCTTTAAACTGTTGATTTCTATTGGGTATTGCCAAACCAGTAGGACTTGGGACCGAATACAGCTCAAATTTGAAGTCTTCTCCTTGATTTACCCTAAGAAAGTCGTTTTTCCTATAACTTGATTTCTATTGGTCACTGCTCAACCAATAGTATTTCAATGGAAGTGGAATACAGATTCGAGTTCTCCATCTCAGAAAACCTCGAAGTATCATCACTGTGATCGGAAGATAGAGCTCTAAACGTGGATCAATTAGATCGTGGACAAAAAAATAACCTAGTTCTCTTTAATTATCTTTGTGATAGGTGAGTTAGCCTTCTTGTTTCTTTATGTTTTATATACCATTTTGTAGCTCTTGAAATTCTCTATCGAATGGTATATAATAGTTGGGGTTTTAGTTGACTATGATAGGAAAAGTTGTTTACGAAAGCGGGAATGGGTCGATCTTTCCATAGGTAATGTATAGGGAAAAATGAGTATTTTTGCAGTAACTCAGGAAGGGCTCGGCCAATCCTTCTCATCTTCGAACTCGACCGAGATATTGTTAAGACTGAACTGTGTAGAAAATTTCATCGCGATCTGACTCTCCTTTCAAAAGTTATCGTGTTAACGGACGGCCGGCCGGACACACTGACCGATTCTAGAGTGTACTCACTTTTTGAGTACACAAAAAGAGGGTGGGGGGGGGGGTACCCTTAATGGAGTCTGACTTCTGGTTTCTGTATTGGTGTCGAAGGCAGAATGTTGGTGTCTTTAGTTTTGTTACCGGTGAACTGCGGTTCTCGTGTTCGCTATTTTTTCGGACTATTAACAGGATCAGTTGGAAAAACTGTATCCTGCGGTGTGGAGAAATACATATCTACCGTTTTTCTCAGAAAGCTTCCAAGATATTTTATTTTGTTTATGTCCTCGAACAGACGATTCATGAAAACGTCAACTTATTTTTGAAACGATAGGTCATGGCATTCTCTCTAATAGGTGAACGCAGAAATTCTTGTGACGTGTGCTAATAGATTTGGAGAGAGGTAAAAGGAAAGGTGTATAAGAATTTATAGTTTCTCACTGTCCAGAATTTGTTTTTCCTCTTCAGCTAAACAACAATCACATTTCGCAGACCTTTTATTCGTTCCGACTATTTTCGAACTGAAAATGCTCACTTTATTGAGATGATGATATTCAGAAATGAGTTTTTGTGCATATAATTTGATTTAGATAGTAAATAGGTTTTTTTTAAAGTGCTTAAATCGGTATGAAAGTGAGAAACTATCACATCTGAGACATCTTTTCTTTTGGCTTACTCCAAATCTATTGGCACAAACCAAGAGGATCTTTTATTTTGACCATCGTACAGAATATCACGACGCATAATTTGAAAAAATTTAAGATTTTTATCATTTACATTTGTGGAGATATATGGAGAATAAATTATGTTGCAAACACTCTGAGACATCTAGTATTTGTGTTACATTCTCTCGCAAATGAAGATTTCTTCGTGTTTTCCATAATTCCTCTCCTATCAATCTTCTGTATAAATCGGTTGAAAGAATCCTCAAACGGCTCAAACTTGCACTATATTCTGTTGCAACTTGTTGATAAGGACGATAATCCCTGTACTTGGATGAAACATAAATGAATGAAGAAGGAGAAAGACGGCATTCTTTGATTAATCCGGCAATTTAATGCAGCTCTTCGATCCCCACAGTAAAATTTGTCGTAATCCATTCAAGTTTTTAGGTATTGAAAGATTCAATAACAAGTCGAAATTTTCTCAGGAATAATGTATTTTCTTTTGAATTCTCAGAGTTCTATTGCTTTTACACAACAATTCCACATAAATTGAATAAGGCTTATATCATGCATGTCTTGCAATTCCTAGACTTCTAAAATAGCGATCGTAACATAAGAATCAAAAAGAAGACATCCGAATCTATTTCTATATTTGAGAATACTGGATGGGTTTCCGGAGCTTTTTTTTCGGAAGCGCAAGGGTTTTCTGAAAATTCGAAAACCCTGAAGGGTTTTCAATAGATGTGCGGAAACCATGCTCAATTTTTCGGAAACGCTTCCACCGTTTCTGATGCTCGAAAACCCAAAAAGGTTTTCGATAAAAAAGATATTGGAAATGTAAAGGTTTTCGAGAAGGTTTTTAAATCTAAAGCGGTTTCCGAGAAAAACTTTTGGTTTTCGAAAATAGCACAAGGGTTTCTGAGAATACGGCTGAGCGTTTCCGCACTTATCTTTCGAAAACCCAAGGGTTTCCGAGTATCCGAAAACCCTGAAGGTATTTTCAGAAACTTAACATGAGTTCGGAAACATTCCCGGATACGTTCATGAGTTTTGGAAAGGATTTCCGAAGGGATTTCGGTTTCTGAAAAAACGTTTGTTTTAGAGTGTATACCTACTACACTAGCATCTGTAGTTAGTATTATAGGTTTATCATCGACAGGATAATGTAAAAATAAAGGTTCTGATACAAGCATTTGCTCCAATCGTTGAAAAGCTAGTGATTGAGCAAATTTCCACTAGAATTTACGACGATTATTTCTAGTAAGATTAGTAACTGAATGTATTGGGGAAGCTGCTGAAGCAAACCCAGGTATGAATTTTCTGTATCAACTCAAAGCGCCAATAAACTTATTAGCTGGGTGTGGGTGTGGATATCGATGTCGAAGTCTTCGTTTTACCCACACTCACACTCACTCCCACACCCACCCTGTTTGATTCATTTACCGTTGATTTCGCTGTTATCTTTGTTTAAACCAAGTGTGTCATCCATGTCTTGCGATACTTCTGAACGAAAATCTTCCGAAGACGAGTGTGCTGCAGGTGTACAATGGTGATAAAACTCGAAGTCCAGGTCCAGAGGGATTTTGATGGTTTCGATTTTTGGCAGATAAAATACCTAAAAAGGGGTACTGGTTGATATACCACAGATGATCTTTATTATTCGAACATTTTTATACAGAAATAGTCAAGTATTGTATCGCTGATTGAGGGAAAAACTCTTCTCTTTTTTTATTTAAGACCAAAATCGTCTCTCTGAACCATTGTTAATGTGATAGAGTAGTTCAAAGTACATGCGAATGTTGACTTTGCCACATATGTTTTGAAACGCTTCAACAATCGAAAATGAAAACAAAATGAAGAAAGATTGGATAAATAAAATTAAAATTAATTTATTTTCTGTTTTTTCTCGCTTCGACAATTTTACTTTCTGGCTACAATTTCATTTTTTCGAATATCCAATGAATACTTTATTTCAATGAATCAAAATAAAATATTAGTATAAATGGATAGGTAAAATAGGACAAAAGAAGAAATTTAAAGAATGATCATGGAAGTGTCAGAAAACGCGCGGAATTTAGCAGCGACCAAATTTTTGAACCCAATAACCCCCATAACGGCCACCACTAGCCTGTCCGACGCCCATTGTCTTAAACTCACTGCTCATGAGATTCGCACAGTGACCCGAACTTGCGAGCCACGCCTCGACTGCCGCAGCAGCATTTTGATTGGCAGCAATATTTTCGCCAGCGGCGCAGTTTCTCGGATAGCCTGCATTTGCCATACGATCCCAAGGAGTGCGTCCATCCAGACTATTATGATCAAAGTAGTTTCGGGCGAGCATGTCTTGGGCATGACCACGTGCAGCATTGCCCAATTTGTTATTCCACTGGAGTGGAGTGGTGGCATAATACCATGACCATCCACACCAGCGACTGCTTCTGCGTGCTTCATTTGTCAGCTCGAGTACCCGTTGTTCGAAGTTGCTGGCAGATGGGCGTTCGGAACTATCAACAGAATCAATATCATAATCCTCATCATCATTGTTTCCGTTATTTGTGACTGATCGTACTTCTTTACGAGGAGCCGACCATGCCGTACCTATCATTGTTTCCTTTTCGTCTGGTACTTCACGGAGTCGATCCTGTTTATCACCAGTCGACCATGGATGGACCAAATCTCCAATAGTCAAGTAACAAACAGCCAAAACCATCAACATATTCATTTTGTATGCTGCGCACAGGGTTCGAATAAATAAAAAAAAATTCTGAGGTACTCTTTATATACTCTATAATGTACACTGGCAATGGAAACCGGATAAATATTGACACAGCACTCAATTTATTCCCGTACGATGGATTTAACAAGCCAATGAGAAAGAAGTCAATAGTTTTAATATAATGTATAAAAGAATCTAATAACGACACCTGTGTATTTTTTGAATCTAATAACGACACCTGTGTATTTTTTGGACCTAATAACAACACCTGTGTGTTTTTTGAATCTAATAACGACACCTGTATTTTTTGAATCTAATAACGAC